CGTCCAAGGACGTCCAACATCACATTGCAGAAGACGGAGAAGAGGACTCTGCTCAGGAGTCTGCCGCTCCGGCCCGTTGTCGCTTCGAGGCGCGTTCTTGTGGAACTTTCTGCGCCTGCGGGCCAGGAGCCAGGTTTCGAAGAAGCTGTGCAGCCTCAACACCAGCATAGTGCGTGGCGTGAGATGGTCTTGGGCCAGACGACCACGAGTCAGCAAGGACATGCGAGTACAGGTATTTTAAATGGATGTCCTCGATCGAGCTCTTTTGCGTCGTATCAGCCATGATGTACGTTCGCACAGTTGCTCTTGCAGTCCTGATGGCACTGTTGGCCTTCTTCCTGCAAGGCTGCAGTGAGGATAGCACAGACACTGCGGAGGTCAACGACCATGGCCGACAACATGACGACAGTGACAACTACTACGACGACCATGGATGACAACGTCACCACAACGACCATGGCTGCCAACACCACGACTACGACCGTTGATGACAACACGACCAACACCAGTCGCTTGCTGCTCTAGTCGAGGTCTGCAGAATCGGCTTCATGGTACAGGCATCGGTCGGACCAAGACAGGTCTCAGGAAACTGTTTTGACCGAGTGTACAGGCAAACGAAGCACACTCCGACACTTTTGCACATGTGCAAAAGCAGCAGGTCACGAAAGCTGTAACATAATTCCTCGCTGAATGGATTTTGGTTTCGACTTGACGCTCGGACCATCAGGATCGCCGCGGAGGCTGCCGTGGGGCTGCTTACGCTGGCTGTCGTGCAGCCTCGTGAGACATCAGTCGCAGATGGGGCAGTGCTCATTGCGACGGGTGCTTTGTGTTTTGGTGGACGGGACATCTGCCGTTGTCACAATTAAATTGTGATTGAAGCTCGCGTCCTGCCGGTGTCGACCTTGGCTTGAGCTTTGCAGTCATCTGAAAGCGTGAACCTGGACTCCGCACGAAGACGCGGAGTATCCTGCTAGACGGGGTTGACCTGAAGCAGGTCTGGGGCAGTGTCGGAGCTCCGGAGCTAGCAAGTGCGCTGTGCAAGACTGGGTATCGGCTGTATAGGGTAAAGGGACTTGCGACAGGAACGAGCTGGCAGAAGAGTGGAAGCGCCACGCGGAGCTCATGCATCAAGTGATATCGCTGGGCTGTGTTCGGCGAATTGCAAAGAGACACAGCGAAGGCAAACAGCATTTCACTTGGTGACAGGATTCCCTCCAAAGTCTGGATGTTGATAAGCTTCCCAATGTGCAAAGGAGCTAGCTTGCATCGATCCAGGTTTAAGCTGCTGCTTCAGCGAAGTGTTCGGCTGAGCTTCCAAAGCGCCCGCAGGCACTTCTTCAGTGCTTCTTTGATCAGGCTCGTTGCTGAGCATTTCCAGCCATATATGTCCGGTAAAGGTAGTCCGAGCAAGCTCATCAGTTGACATTGGCGAGGAAAAGGAGAGCTTGGGCCGGGCAGTCGACATGCACTTCATGGACTTCATGGGAGGGGCGTCGTTTACTGCGATTCTAGCTGTGGCCCGCCGTCGCGCCTTCTGCTCGGCTTGGTACAGCATTTACTTCTTCTTTGCATGGCCAGCCTTTTCTTCACATTGCAAAGCAAACCCCAGCAACTGCACTGAGCTGTAGACGTCGCTGTCTGCCTGGCCCATGGCGAGCCATAAATCAGACCACGCCACGTAGGCAGGAATCAGCGCATGAGCGAGAATTGAACGGTAGTTGTGTCGACAAGTTCTATAGCACGTCGTTGCGCTTGTGCCCGTGCAGGCACCAATGAGACAACGACCGCAGGCGAAGCAGAGATGGATCTGGGTTGAGCTGGGACACGCTTGCGTCGGCAGCGTGCAGACATGCGGCATGACATTGATACTCGTGCTATACTGACGTGTTGGAAGTTTCACTGCCTGCAGGCGGCACAGGCGGCGAGGGCTGCGAAGGCTCTGGTGTGCCGGGCACGTTTGCAAGGTTAAGATGAAGATGCCTTCCCTCAAGCACTACATCCTAACTCAAAACCGAAAGCTCCCAGAATCCTTATGGGAAGAACGGTTCAGGGTTCTTAGCCCTACAGTAAACCCCAAAGCCTTAGAGGCGCCATTATAGGAGCCCTTTGGCCCCATCCCTCTTTTCAGAGCCAGTCTTCAGGTCTGGTTTCTTTCTTAGGGAAGCTACTATACGGATTAGGGGTTTAGGAATTTAGGAGTTTAGGAGTTTAGGAGTTCAGGAGTTTGGGGTTTAGGGTGTAGGAGTTTAGGAGTTTAGGAGTTTAGCAGGTTTGGGGTTCAGGGTACAAGAGTTCAGGACTTTGGATTTACGGGCGTGAAGAAGTAGTAAACAGCAGTAACCCTTTTTCAGCACAAGTTACAGCTATGTTAGATCCCATGATTCCAAAATCCGAAACATAGTCACCCGCGCAGAATCAGTCGTTCTTGCGGTCGTAACGTAGGCCAGCCTAAACCCGAACAGATCCTAAAGTCCTCACAGAGCCCTAAGACCTAGGCCCTAAGACATTTTAAAATCCTGAAAAGGCCCTAAACCCTAAACCCTAAAACATCTTAAGCTCCTGAAAAGGCACCAAACCCTAAAACATCTTAAGCTCCTGAAAAGGCACCAAACCCTAAAACATCCTAAAATTCTGAAAAGGCCCTAAACCCTAAAAAGGCCCTAGACCCTAAACCCTAAGCAAAGGCTCTAAACCCGAATCTCCCAGGTGCAGTACCGGAGTGAGGCAACGGAGGCACAGAACCAGTCCGGCGAGCTGAAGGCCTGGCGAATTGGCGTTTTTTTGATTGTTTAGGGGCTTAGGGTTCAGGGTGTAGGGTTTAGGCTTTAGGGGCTTAGGGTTTTAGGGTGTAGGGTTTAGGGGTAATCCAGGCGAGGCATGTGGTCTTAGGTCGGCATGGTGAAGCTTCACACCGGAAGTGGGACGCAGAACAATAATCCCCAACTAACTTTAGCATGTCAGCCCAACGTCCGGGGTTAGGCGTTTAGGGTTTGGTGGGGATTTTCACGGCCCTTCAGCCACCTTTTTTTATTGAGAACCTAGGGCTCTAAGGGCTCTGTTTTGGGCTTCAGGATTTTAGCAATTTTTCGGGTGTCTTCAGAGTTCACAGCCTTTGCGCTTCTTTGTGGAGTCCCGTCAGGGCAGCTCCCCTAAAGCTCCCGCAGCCTCCGCAGTAGGGTAAAGGGTAATGAAATGATATGGGTACTTGTCTAATTTAGGGCCCGTTTTGGGGCCGTACTCTTTTGGGGACCTAAGAAGGGACCGTAGTTTAGAGAACTACCCATGTGAACTTAACGGGACCTGTTATTGTAGCTGTTGGAGCCTTCCATGAGTTTATAAGGTTTTTCAAGCTTCTTCTGGCAACTGCCCATCCAAAGCCTTTCCCCACCTGACCATCTAAAGCCCTCCCCTGGTGAACCCCAAAACTCAAAAGAAAGCAACGAAAACTGAAAAGGGACGGAATAGTAATTAGTTAGATATGGAGATGTGGTACCTCCTTATAGTCCATAGTTTCCATAATTGTAGCACAATTGATACCTCAAGAACACACTCTGATTGTTGGGGCCCTCTGTATAGCCACCTCTCTGTAACGTGGAGCCGAGGCAGCGAAGGCGAAGGCCCGCCAGAAGAGAGCCGGGCAGCTAAAATCCGGTTATTTTTAGGGGTCCTTTTTGATAAGGGTGCCGTACGATATTGGGGACCTAAAAAGGGACCCTACTTTAGAGAACTACCCAGCCTCATGCTTCTGTCACAATCGTAATTCGTAAACTTTCACTGGTCGCAGCCATGGTGCTAATGCTGTTTAGAGTTCAGGGTTTCTCATGATGATCTAGAAAGCCTCACAAACTCTTAGTAGGGAAGTTCACCTCGGAAACCGGACCAAGGCGAGTAGATTCACCCAAGGCCCCCTTCAGTGCGTTTAAAGTTGAGGCTTCAGGGTTTGGGGTTCCTCAGACAAAGCCAACATTGTGTTGGAGGCGCCCCCTTCCACGCCGGAGAGGCCGACGGGCAGGCACCTACTCAGACATCTCACGGGAGTCGCGGAGATGTGGTTGTTGTTGGTGGAATGAGCAGTTCAGAGGTTACCAGCCCTCCTGGATGTCGCGGGCCTGCAACACAGGGAGCAAACATCCCTCTCAAGCTTTGATGAACACTGCCATAGTCTCACGGCATGTGGGTGTAAAACATAGAGACTTGTAGCCATCCAGGAAAAAGCAGTTTAAGGTTTAGGGTTTAGGGTTTATGGTTTAGGGTTTATGGTTTAGGGTTTAGGGTTTAGGGTTGGAGTAAAAATCCACAGCCTGCCAGACCGAGAGAAGCGGCTGCCGCTGAGTTCGAGGGGTCGGGGTCTCGTGAGGCCCCCATCGGCGTCGCCCAAGCCGAAGGCCGCGGCCAGAGCAAGGGCTGCACAGATTCTCGTGGAAGGAGAAAAATACCAGCATATTATGGTGTATTATAGTATATCATAGCATATTATAGCATATTGTAGCACATAAAAAGTGTATAATAGTATATTACAGTATATCTAAAGTAAACTATAGTATATCATAGCATATTATAGTATATCACAGTATATTTGCAGTAAATTATAGTATATTGTATTCGGCTCTGGCAGGGTTGCAGTGGGGGCCTAGGGCTCAGGGTTTGAGCCGTTTGGCTTCTTCGATGCTTGTTCATTCCGGACGTTGGGGAAGTCACCTGGGCCATGCCAGATTGCCGCAGCCATTTTGAGAACAAGGCTTGCGAGAAGTAAAGCCAAAGGTGTCTGGAAGGGTGTCATGATTGGAAAGTCTCCGTGGCAAGTAGGGTCACCAGCCAAGTGAAGCGTGAACCATGGCCACGGAAAAGCAGCAGCAAACAAGCGGACTGTTCAAGGAGTTCAGATGAGCGATCGGGAATCATGCGAAGACTTGAGCCAAGTATGTGTGGCTCGTGACATAAAGTTAATCATCGCATCGTGCTGTCAGATTCCATCTTTGTCGGTAGGGCTATGGCACATGGCGCCTCAGGAGGCCCCGGCCTTAACGGGTTCGACAGTTGGGGGTTTACGTGTTACCACCACCCTACCCCCCCCACCACCCCCCACCATGACACCCCCCACTACCCCCCCCCACCACGACACCCCCCACCACCCCCCCGCCATCCCACCACCCACCCCCCGCCACCCACCCCCACCACCCCCACCCAGGCTGTCCTGATTGTAAATCGTTGTCATTGCTCCCGCTGCCTTGCCATACTTTGCTCTTCGGCAAGGTTTCCCAATTGGTTCGTGGAGTGTCGCAGCATGCCACAGACTCAGGCGCCGGGCATTCGGGCTGCAGCGTCGCCCGTCCCCGTCTCAGATGCATGCCATTGGCGGAATCAGACGGTGCCGGATATTGGGGTTTCGACTGCTCCCCTGACCCCAAGATTCCCAAGCTCGGCGCCATATCTCCCAATCACCAGGAGCAGGCACCACGCAGCAACCCGATAGCGTCAGGGCCTCAGTCACAAGCCGTGGCTACGTCCAAGGGTCGTAGACATGTCGGGTGCCATGCAGGGGTTCGTGCCCAGGACCTTGGAAAGGATAACCTGCTGGGCGGACGCCACTGATGAGGATGAACAGATCCCAGGCCTTTCGGATGCTCTGGGTGGCTAGTGATTCTCCTTTTGAGACCCGCTACTGCTACCACTGCCTACCGCTCTTCATGGTGGTGCTACTGCGCAGGCTGTACCACGACCACTAGGATCTCTAGAACGGCTGACGCAACTACTGCTGGTTTGTGACACGATCCTGTTCTGCTACCGGCTGTTTCTCTTGCATATTTTGGTGTCCTGCGTCAGCGTACTCCCCTGCCTTGTAGCCTTTGGCAACCAAACGGGTATTGCATCGGCTGTAACCCGAAACGGCATAAGCTACACCATAAATCCTAAAGGCCCTAAAGCCCTATAACCGCTGGGGTGCAGATTGCTGATTTATGCCCGTGGTCTGGAGCACTCAAGTCCAAACAGGAAACCAAAAATTTTTCAGTCCCAGACGTCTAATGGTTCCATAGCAAGCCTCTATCATGGTTGTTTTCCTGTCAGGGTCACTGTAAGACCTTTCATGGTCTACGAGGGTGCTATAGGGTTCCTTTGAAGGCCCCTTTAAGGAGTTTCATAAAGGGGGGTCCTTTATCTCTGAATCCCCAAATCCTCAGACCTGAAACCGAAACCCTGAAAGGTTCAATGGTTGCTCATAGTATCCCCTTGTAGTCCCCATATGGGTAGTCCTCTAAAGTCCTTTTTACAAGGGTGCTGTAGTATTTTGGGGGACTGAAGAAGGGACTCTAATTTAGAGAACTACCCATATAAACCAAAA